AAAAAAAACCAAAGCTTGTGTATCTAGGGAAGCGTTTCTTGAAAGTTCTTCCTAGATACACGTCAATTCATATTCATGAATGTTTCAATTTATTTTTTTTATTAATTAAACCTAAGTTTATAATCAATACAGTGCAAAATATTTTCCTAGAATCCCCAATATATGTTTTATATCTTCTAGTTGAAAATGTTCTATTTTTAAAAGATCTTCTTGTTTTTGATTAAAAAGATCAAATAATGTAAATATATTTGACTTTTTCAAGCAATTATATATCTTGGGAGGGAATTCTAATTGGTCAATAAAAATTAATTTCAATGAAAGTTTCTTTTTTTTTTTTATAAGTGTAGTCACTTTATTATAAAAGATAAGGGGGGGTAGGGGAATTGTGTGTTTTGCATCTGCTAAATATAAGTTTTCTTCTTCCATCTGGAAAAAAGGAATAAAGAAATCAATCAATATTCGGGCGGATTCATGAAGTGCTTCTTTTGGTGTTAAACTTCCATTTGTCCATATTTCCAAAAAAAGTATCTCTTGTTTTTCATTCCCATAAGAATGAATACTATGATTTGCATTTTGAACCGGCATGAAGAGAGCATCTATAGGATAACTTCCATCGTCAAAGTGAAGGTCCACTTTGTTGAAATATCCGCGATTTCTCTCTATTTTTAATCCAATAAAAAAATCAATAGGTTCCGTCAACCAAGCTATATGTTGTGTGTTATCAACAATTTGTACATGGGGGGGTAATATTATATCTTGGGCAGTTACATGTCGAGGTCCCTTGATACAAATAGACGCATCACAACTTTCATATAGATTGCTCCTCAATACAATTTCTTTCAAATTCATTAAAATCTCATGTACCGATTCTTGAATCCCCCCTATGGTAGAATACTCATGCGAGGCTTTCTCAGATTTTACACGTGTGATACATGTCCCTTCTATTTCTCCCAGCAAAGCTCTTCGCATCGCAATTCCTATTGTATCGGCTTGACCTTTTATAAGTGGAGATAGAATAAAGCGGCCATAAAAAAGGCGTTTACTGTCTATTCTTGATTCAACACATTTCCACTGTAGTGTCCGAGTAGATACTGCTACTTTCTCTCGAACCATAAAAATTTTGATTTAGTATATTAGTGAATCTTCTATTTCTCTTGATATAGGTTCACTTTTGATTTCTACACACGTCGTTTTTTGGGGGGTCTACAGCCATTGTGTGGCATAGGGGTTACATCCCTTATAAAAGTTAATAATATACCGCTTCTATGAATAGCTCGTAATACTGCATCTCTTCCGAGACCGGGACCTTTTATAAATACTTCGGCTCGTAGCATACCTCGATTCACTACTTTACGAAGAGCATTTATTACCGCGGTTTGAGCAGCGAAAGGTGTTCCTCTTCTGGTTCCTTTGAATCCAGAAGTACCGGCAGAGGACCAAGAAACTACCCGTCCCTGTACATCTGTAACAGTCACTATGGTATTATGGAAACTGGCTTGAACATGAATTACTCCTTTTGGTATTCTACGTGCATTCTGACGTGAACCAATACGTCCCCCCTTCCTACGCGAACTAATTCTCGATATATATTTTACCATTAAGCATTTTGTAAATCTGAGTCAGCGATATACTATATGGATATATCCATTTCACGATTCTTTCATTTCTATAATTGGTTTAGTTACTAAGTTAAGTTGCGAAGTCTTATTATCCCTGTCGTTGTTTATGTCTGGGATTGGAACAAATTACTATAAGTCGTCCCCTTCTCCGTATTAATCGACATCTGTCACAAATTTTACGAACAGAAGCTCTTATTTTCATATTCAGACTCCTTACATTTCTTTTAAATTTACTTTAGAGTTTCGGTTTGATTGGAAGATTATAATAAAAACATTCATTTTTTTTTTTATTTTCAATTTCTAATTTTGTTATTTTTGCCAAAGAGATAGCTAAGTTTAAAAATGACTCCTTTGAATCATTGTTGTGTTGCAAAAGCTTCATCGACTTGTTCTGAAGTTATCCGTCTAAACTAAAAATGAATTTAGCCTATTTTCACAAAAAGAACTTATAATCCAATCTTTATTACTTTATTAGTTGATTATCTAAATCAATAAAAAAGAAAACCAGAACATACTATTTGAAAAGGATTCCTTAATAAAAAAATTCTTGAAAAAAGGAAAGTGATTTTTGTTCTTTCATCCGAAGGACTTTATTCTTTATTTCAGTGACCTAGAAGCAATAAGGAATGGGGATTTCATTAGATTCTAAAATATCCCATTTGGGAATCATAGAAATGGAAAGTTTCTACCTAATTGGCATCTTGAAAATATTACCATATATAAAACAAAATCTCCCCCCCGATTCTTTGCAGTCGGGCTTCTCGGTCTGTCATTATACCACGTGAAGTAGAAAGAATTACAACCCCCATCCCGCCTAAAATTTTAGGTATTTTTTTAGACTTAGAATACATTCGTAGACCGGGTCGACTTATCCGTTTTAAATTTAGAATATTGCTAAAGGTCCTTTTTTTAGTGTTTATATGTTGCAGAGTTAAAACTAAAAAATTTTTGTTGTTTTCTCGATGATTTCTCACACTTTCAATAAAACCTTCTTTTAAAAGGAGTTTTACAATCTTTTCGTTAATATTACTGGATGGGATTCGAACTGTTCTTTTTCCATCCCTATGAGTATTCCGTATAGAAGTTATTATCTCAGCAATAGTGTCCCTACCCATGATGAACTCTAATTATGGAGCTAAAAATTTTTCTACTCTCAACGTGTTTTTTTTATTGTCTATGGATTATTGTGTTTATCTTACTTTATTTTAATCTTAAAGTTATATACGTGAGACAGATTCTACTCCATTTTTTAATTTTTTTTATAATACCTCAGGAGCTAATGAAACGATTTTAGTAAAATTTAATTGTCTTAACTCCCGGGGGATTGGACCAAAAATTCTGGTCCCTTTTGGATTTCCTTCTTTATCAATAACAACTGCGGCATTATCATCATATCGTATTATTATCCCGTTGCCACGTTTTAGTTCTTTAGAGGTACGCACGATTACGGCTCTAACTACTTCAGATCTTTGTAGAGGCATGTTAGGTACAGCTTCTTTGATAACAGCAACAATAATGTCACCAATATAAGCATATCGACGATTGCTAGCTCCTATTATTCGAATACACATCAATTTTCGAGCCCCGCTGTTATCCGCTACATTTAAAAGGGTTTGGGATTGAATCATAGCATTTTTTTTTATTCTTTTCTTTCACAATGCAAAGGGCGAAGAAAAAAAGAAATATTTTTTGTCCACAAACATAAAACGAAACCTCTTTTTTTTTTGTTTTTGTTTCATTCTTAAGATTCTTTGGGTTGGTTCTAGAGTTATATCGTCTATTCTATCTCCGAAATAATGAATTGAGTTTGTATCGGCATTTTTGATGCTGCTATTGAAATAGCTTTTCTGGCAATATTTTTTGTTACTCCACCCATTTCAAAAAGTATCCGACCGGGTTTAACAACAGCAACCCAATATTCAGGGGATCCTTTTCCTGAACCCATACGTGTTTCTGCGGGTCGTACAGTAACTGGTTTATCGGGAAATATACGTACCCATATTTTTCCTCCACGACGTGCATTTCGTGTCATAGCCCGTCGCCCAGCTTCTATTTGTCTAGATGTGATCCAAGCGGGTTCAAGTGCTTGAAGCGCATATTTACCGAAACAAATATGATTCCCTCGAGAAGCTATTCCCTTCATTCTTCCTCTATGTTGTTTACGGAATCTGGTTCTTTTGGGGTTATAGTTGATGGATTTTTATTTATTCCATCTCTACTACAGAACCGGATGTGAGAGTTTCTTCTCATCCAGCTCCTCGCGAATTACGAATAAAGTATTTACAAAATGAGCGTTTGACTCAAATTGACTAATCATAGTGAAGATATCTAAATCTAAAGATAGATAATAAAAGTCTGGACTGAGAAGTCAAAATAATATTTAGGGATTGAGTGATCTTTTTTTAAATCTATTTGAATTGAAATGAATTATTCTACAGTTTTTTCATGATTCTCTGAGTCTAACTAATCCTTCATTTTTGACTATTCTTTATATTGCTTTAGATTGAATATTGATTCTTTTGAAAAAAGTTTTCGCGGGCGAATATTGACTCTGTCAATTTAGATTTCATTTCTAGGACGAGTTTGTGACATCTTATAGCTAGTATCTAGAAATAAAATAATTTAACATTGGTTTATTCCGCCATCCCAGCCAGTGAATGTTTAAGATTTTTTTTTATTTCATCTTGAATTGAATTGAATCTTTTGTATTCTCATAAGTTCCGTCGTCCCCATCACTTCTTACTTAATGGTTAGGTCCTAATTTTACAATGGAGCTCAAATAGTAATAATATATGAATAATTTAAGTCTTTAGCCATTTTTCTTAGTCTTTATTGGCTTTAAGCTCTTGACTTTATTTTTTTATTTTATCTCTTCTATATTTAATATCTAATTGAATATTTATATATAGATTATAGATTTCTATAATAAGAGTATATTGTTTTTTATTATTGAATATTCTTAGATTTCTTATTCTATTTTAAATACTTTAATATGCAGAATTTAAGTATTAATGCTTCATTACATTGCCTGTTTTGTTAGACCCTACATATTGGAATTTTCAATCATTGAGCTTCTTTTTCTCCCTTTCTCTCTCCCTTCCAATTATCCACATCTTTTTTATATTTTGCTTCGCAACTTCAATAATATTTGAATACTATTTTTCGTTTATGCAAATAAATGGCAGTTGCTACAACGATATGAGCGGTAATCATATCGTGACTGGTTATTTAGATCCAGATAATGCGAAATTGATGAGTTAATTATTAGGTAATTTCTTCTCGAGTTAGTAGTTGTTACTTTGGGTTTGGTTTCATGCTAACCTTAAAAAATAAACGAGTCGCACACTAAGCATAGCAATGATATTTTTATTAAAAATAAATAAAATTTTTATTCAACCTTATAGAATTCATTATTATCAATTAGAACTGTTCCTGCTCATTACACAAAATAATTTGTGAAATGGCCGCTCGGTATTACAGGTAAAAAGAATGAATAAAATTTTATTGAGCTTGATCAAAAAATATCCAAATTTTTATGCCTAAAACCCCGTAGATAGTTCGAACTGAATAACAACAATAATCAATTTTAGCTTGAATAGTTTGGCGGGGAATTCTTCCTTCTCTTATCCATTCCACACGTGCAATTTCCTTTCCGTCAAGGCGTCCCGCAATTTGTACTTGAATTCCTTTTGTATCTGCTTGTTCAGCTAATTCAATAGCTTTTTTCATTGCTTTTCGAAAGGAAACTCTATTCTTTAATTGTCCAGCTATAAATTCGGCAAGAATATTAGGATTTCCATACGGTTTTTCAATTTTTGTGATAGCAATATTAAGTTTTCGGTTTACGAAATTTAATTTTTTTTGTAGAGCTTTTTGTAATTCTTCAACTCCCTGCGGGCTATTTTCAATGAATACTTTGGGAAATCCAATATAGATTATGACTTGGATTAGATCGAGTCTTTTTTTAATACATATACCTGCAATTCCCTCGGTACCCGAGGGTTTGATTCTATTTTTTTGTACATAATTTTTTATAAAAGCTCTTATCTTTTGATCTTCTTGCAGATTTTCAGCATACGTTTTTGGTTGCGAAAACCAAAGTGAATAATGGGCCTGGTTTGTACCAAGTCTGAAACCAAGTGGATTTATTTTTTGTCCCATAAATACCTCCTTTTCTGGATATCAGAATATGCTTTAGTTCTAGAATTTTTTTTCGCTTGTGGTTTTTTTAGCAAACCGAGCTCCACGGATTCAGAATCATTGAATGAAATATCTTTTAGTACAATAGTGATATGGCAGGTCGGTCTTTTTATTGGATAACTACGCCCGCGAGCCCGAGGTTTTAATTTCTTTCCAGCAGTCCCCTCATTAACTTCAGCTTGACTAATAACTAAATTTGCTTTATTTGAAGCCATAGTGTAACTAGCATTTGATGCGGCTGAATAAACCAATTTTAAAATTTGATAACTGGCACGATAGGGCATGAGTTCTAATATAATAAGTGTTTCCTCATAGGAACGCCCACGAATTTGGTCAATAACTCTTCGTGCTTTATTAGCCGACATAGCTATACGTCGACCTAAAACGTATACTTCTGGGGTTTTTTTATTTAGCATCTGGTACATAAAATTTGCCTCCTACTAATGACTTATAAGCATCAAAATATTTTTTAGTATTCACATTACCGATGAGATTTCTTATCATTTTTTGCATGTCCTCGAAAATTTAAAGTAGTTGCAAATTCTCCCAATTTGTGTCCGACCATATCATCCATTATATAAATAGGGAGATGCTCTTTCCCATTATGAATGGCAATAGTATGACCAATCATTATTGGAATAATAGTAGATCCCCGGGACCAAGTTATTATTATTTCTTTTTCTCCCTTTGTGTTAAGTTTCTCAATTTTTTTTAATAATTTATGAGCTACAAAGGGATTTTTTTTTAGTGAACGTGCCACAGTTTACTCCTATAAATTTTATTATTCTTTTATTTTTTTATTTTTCATATAATTGAATGAATAAATTTAATTTGTTCTATTATATTAATTTTTATACTATATATATTACATTAAGTATATTCACTCTATTAACTATATTATACTATTATATTAACTGCGGTGACGAAGAATGAGCTTCTCACTATATTTATTCCTCTTTCTAGTTTTTCTTCCAAGTGCGGGATAACCCCAAGGGGTTGTAGGTTTTTTTCTCCCAATAGGAGCTCTACCCTCACCGCCCCCGTGTGGATGGTCTACGGGGTTCATAACTACTCCTCTGACTACAGGACGCTTACCTAGCCATCGTTTAGCTCCAGCTCTACCCAAATTTTTTTGGTTGAACCCAACATTCCCGACTTGTCCTATTGTTGCGGAGCAGTTTTGGGATATAAAACGGACCTCGCCAGAAGGTAATTTTAATGTAGCTGATTTACCCTCTTTTGCAATCAGTTTCGCCATTGCACCCGCTGCTCGAGCTAATTGTCCACCCCTTCCACGTGTAATTTCTAGGTTATGTATAGTCGTGCCTAAGGGGATTTCGGTCAAAGGTAGGGCATTTCCAATTTTGATTGAAACATTTGTACCAGAAACAATGGTATCTCCAATTTGAGCCCCTCTCGGATGTAAAATATACTTCTTCTCACCAGTCTTATAATGTATTAGACAAATGTTTGCATTTCTATTAGGGTCATATTCTATGGTTATGATTCTACCATATAGGTCTTTTTCATTCCGTCGAAAGTCTATTTTACGGTATAGGCGCTTATGACCCCCCCCCCCTATGCCTTGCTGTAATGATTCCTCTAGCATTACGACCTTTACCACAATGATGCTTTCCAGAGAGCAAATTTTTTCTTCGAGCAAATTTTGGGCTGTTTACGGTTTCGCTCGGGTTATAAGTTTTGTATAATTGTATTCCCATGATATAAATGATTTTTATTTTGGATTTAAAGTTTATTTGTTTGGAGGTGTAAGCCAATGTCTAATGATCTGCGGTAGCCATTGCATTATATGTCCTCTAATAGGGAGGGCCTACCATTATGTGACCCTTTGCCAGAAGCGTAGCACTACTCAAAGTTTATGACGTGGATTTCAAAAAAAGTCTATTTATTATTTTTTAATAACTAAATTCTTTTTTTTAATATTATATCTTTTATTCCATCCCGAATTTTAATTCATTCCGTATTATTTTAAGTTGAAATAAAAATGTTAATTTTGAGTGTTGATAGAATCTATCTATATCTCTAATATAGAGATAGATTCTCTATATGTATCGGTATCCTAGAATTATCTATTATGATATATGAAATGGAAATAGTCAACATGAAATCTATCTAGGAACATATATCTTCTATGATATTTGATATGGACAAATCTATCTAGGAGCATATATCTTATATGATATTTAATATGGATTATGAAGGAAATGCTCAAAGTAGATCTATGCTAATATATATCCTAAAATATAACAAAAATATCATAAAAAGAAGAATTGGAGGGTCAATGAGATTTTGTGTAAATAACTAATAGTGCTAATAGTGTGCATCCAGTAGGAATTGAACCTACGACTTCGCCAATTATGAGTTGGGCGCTTTAACCACTTAGCTATGGATGCTTAAACGAGACCATCATCTATAAAAATTGAAAATTAAAATATAATAATTATGGTAATTATGAATCTTGGAATTGCAAATAAAAAAAAATGATATTTTATTTTATATGATAGGATATGATAGGAATAGAGAATCTAATATTCAATATCGAATTACAGCAAAAAATATTACATAAAAAAATGTCGTTTAAATAAAGAATTTCGGAAATCTGAAATACTAAACAAAGACTCTATTTATCATTTCTATTTTTACATTAAATAGTCAATAGTCAATTATATAA